GAGAAGCTCGAAAAGTATTGCACCGAGGCCCCAGTTGTCAAGCTACGCTATCATATTTATAGTATACACATAGATCGAGACTATTTAGATGATATTCACTTTTTTTTCTACTACATACATATATACCGCCATTACTCGCTAACGAGTATTTGACACGCATCAGAAGATGGTCACGCAAGGCGTTTTCTTTCATGAGCTTTTCTGTGACTGAAAAGCCCGATACGTGATGTTATCTGTCTACCGCACTCCAGACATTCAAAAATCTCATTGCCTCTTTACTTTTTGGTTGTCGCTCTTAACTGACTTTACAATTCTTCTCCATTCCGTTCTATTGTGAACTGCCTCTTCCCACTCATTCTGCTTGTTAATTCCCTTTAAGTTTTCGTGGAAATTATCCTTGAACCTTTTGAGTTGTCCACCCGGCCTCCTCTTACCGTCTACAAGCTCACCGTCAAGCAGAGATTTTGGTATGCGGTTTTCTTGCGTTCTGCATACGTGACCAGCCCATCTTAAGCGGGACTTTGTTATTTTTTTTCTACTGTACGCCCGCCGGAGTCACTATTATTTATTAATAAAAGAATAGTAGTAAAACTATACAGGATGAGTCTTAAATAAGTGCAAATATTTTCAGGGGTGGTATATTTCGACCTCAGGAACACGGCTCTGAAGTTTTTGTAAAAAAAGATGTTTCACCGCAAATGTTCCCACGGTATATTTTCTTAATTTTTGATATCACGCCACAAAAAGAAACGCAAATACAGAAAAATTTCGGTGAATTAAAAAATTTCAAACTTTAATAACTCGGTTATTTTGGACTTATTTGAAACACGGTAAAAAGAATATATTATGTTTCTTTTATTCATATCTACCAGCCCTGAAAATATTTGCACAAAGCAGCACAAAAATAATGTGCACTTATAGACTCACCTTGTATAATAAAACATTTCAAACGGAACAACAAACAGATGTTTATTAAAATTATAAGTGTCTCAGAGAAAGGCATCTAACAATAGTTATTTTACAAATTGGTGTTTATGTTTAAAAGCAACTGACGATTATATTGATCTAATTGATTAGCTGGTTAGGCAGTTACTAAGAATCTTACGTAACTTTAGTTAGAAAATTAACCATTTAATTTTTGCTAAATCAATCATTTTTTGAGATCTGATTGGGACCGGCCCACCGGCCCACCGGGAATTTTCTCGTTTTCCCATATGGCCCATCCAACCCTGAGTAGATCTGTTAGTTTTAAGGTTGCCTCTGTAGGAGTTCTTGGGAGATGGACTGCCAACTGTCTTTCCATATTTTTGGAGGTCTTCCCGGCTGTCCCTTACCCATGGGTTAGAATAGCCCTGCGAGTGTGTCCCTTACCAACTTAAGGGGAAGATTTGACATTTTGGGAGTTTTCTGGAGTAATTTTTTGGAGTCGATTTTGGGAGCAACTTTCGTTTTGGAAACGAGAAGTTTTTTTGAGAACATTTTGGACGAGTTTTTTTTTAAGAAGATTTAGCAGTAGTTTTTTTTTTGAGCCGAAGTTTTGAGCAGTTTTTGGTTTTTATGAATGGTTCCGTGAAGATTCCCTGTTGGAGGCTGGTGTGAAATTGACGAGTTTTCACTTTTTCCGCAAATTTACAAGTTTTCTGATGGTTTGAAGCAATTACGTAATGGATATGGGCCCCAGTACGACAGCAAATCAACACTGATTGACTAATACAGCTTCAGAGCAAAAGCTAAGTACTCATTTACGTTTTGCTTTAGAATCTTTTTGCCTTTTTCTTAACTTTCTACTGAAACTTACCTTATATTGAAACCTCTTTTTTGATGAAACTTAAACAAACGATTACGTTTGATGATTTATATTTAGTAATATTTAATTTAAGTTTCGCTATATCAATATAATATTCCACATTGTTGTCTAATATTTGTGTTTCTAATTCTGTCTCTTCTAGTCTTCCCCATGATGGTTCTTAGGTTCTTCATTTCAGCAACTGTCATTATTTGTGTGATGCAGGTCTTATAAATTTTAATTTTGCTGTCTGTTCGCACGAAGGGGTTTGTCCACACTATTTGCCTCAGACATCCTGACATGGCCGTTGTTGTGTTTATCTGGCTTCTCAGATCTTTCTCTCGATCATGGTAGTACGACATATCTATTCCTAGGTATCTGAACGGTGATACTTGCTCAATAATTTTGTTTTCTACTACCAGTTTGCATGTTACCGGCTCTTTAGAGAAGTTGAGCATTTAGTTATTAAGCACAAGTATCCTTTAATTATAATAATTCAAGATTAATAATTTAAATATTTTTTAAGATTTGTAGATATTTTATAAATTATATTTGTTTTTCAATATTTTTTCTTGTAATTTTTGCTATTTATTTAAAAATGTTTGTTTCATAAAATATAATATCTACTGCTGCTGGTGTACTCTTTTGGTGTACAGAGCGTGCAGTAAAACCACGTTACAGGAATCTTTCTGCAAAATCAATACAACAATATCAGTAAAGTAAATTTCTATACTTGGCTTGTTTCCCAGCGCATTCGCCATTTTCTACATAATTAAAAGACGATAGATGGCGCGTCATGCTCTTCTAAGAAATATTTTTGAATTAGTTTCTCTTAAAATTAGCAACAATGAGGCATACTTTATTTCATAAATACCAAAATATTAAAAAATCTCAGAAATTAATGTGAGATCTCATGTAAGGTCATGTCCGTTTATTTTATTTAGTGTCTATTAAAGCACCTATTCATTCAAAAATTTTGTTATAAATTGTTAGTATCCATATAGAATATTACTTCCTCTAGGAGATGCGAAATAGGATTGCCACCTGTCCTTTTTTAAAAAGGACACTTCTTTTTTGGAACAAATTGTCCTTTTGAAATTTTTGCCTTAAAAAGTTTTTATTATTTATCTATTTTCTCTGAGAAAATTATCTACAGCAACCAGCAATATTCCTTTAGTCCAAATTTAATTAGACATGTTAGAAAACTTACAAAATAATTTTTTTTTCAAACGTCACAAAACTATTGATTTTTGCGAAGTGATTGGCAATATAAGAACTTTTAAATCTTTATATATTTGGAATGTTTTAAAATGGTTTTAAAAAATTACTTGAGGCGTTTGAAAAAAAATTGCATGTTCTATTCGGAGTAAAAATGGCTTTTTATGCCATTGGTTTTATGTCAAACGTACAGCAACCAGCAACATCCCAAAAAAAATCATTTTTACTCCTAATAAAATGATATACAGGGTGGCCCATCGAAAACGTTCCGCAAGGCATAACGGCCGGAGTAATTTTTTTTCAGAAAATTCAAAAACACGTCAATTTTGTTTGTGAGGGGGTCAACTTTTGCCCCAAAAATGATTGTAAAATCTTCAACCCTCTAAGCGGGGGTATCATCTCCCAACTTATTTCAAATGGGAAGGGGGGTCAAGTGGCGCCGAAATGAAAAGAACTTTCTATTCTCTATATTTTCCCGCGTCGCTTTTGAAAATCGGTGAAGTCATTGAGAAAATATGAAGGATTGAAATTTGAAAAGTTCATTTAAACATTTATCAGAGTAAATGATAAGGATAATTCCTTCGACCAATTTGCTGTTTTTTCTTATTATTTCTAGATGTTTACGCATTTTTTCACTTGCCACAAGGTTGAACGATCAGGTGCGGCAGTTGCTAGATAGCTGTTCTGTGACTTGTGCGTTGAACTTCTTCTCAGCAGTGGCGAAGTTATGGGGGGGCTTGGGGGGGCTTAGCCCCCCCAAATGTAGAATTAGCCCTCCCAAAATGTTTGACGCTCTATGCAATACAAGCTCGATTACAGTCGGTCCCTGGTCTGTCAGTATTAATATGTCACTCGATAGTTTAAAGTTTAACCTAGAAGTAATTCTGCGAAAACAATATATTGTGATATTGTGATGTATATATTTTAATGCGAAGGTCTGGGTGTTTCTTATTTTATTTTTTAGTCATATTTAATATCTGTATGTTTATTATTAAAATGTATATATCAGTTATACTTAGTTCTGTTTAGTCCATGTTTATTCGATATTGCCACTAAAGCATTTAGTATTAAATTCTGTGTTTTCATCCTAATCTTACCTAATGTTATGATCAAAAGATGCCGGGGCTTAAGCCCCCCCAAAATCAGAGAGCTAACTTCGCCAATGCTTCTCAGTATCGTTAAACTTCTTAACAATTATGGTGTACTCACTTGCAGAAAAAGTGGAAATAATCGAACTTTATTTTAATAATAATGAATGTATCGGGTTGCGCACATATTCAATGTATGCTATCCTGACAAACACCTTTATGGCAAAATTGTTCGCGAGTTAGTAGCAAAATTTCGCGAAACTGGTTCCGTTATGAATAAATTGCAAATTGGTCGAATGAATTTACCTTTATCATTTACTCTGATAAATGTTTAACTTTTAATAAACTTTTCAAATTTCAATGCTTCATATTTTCTCAATGACCCGACCGATTTTCAAAAACAAAGCGGAGAAATATAGAGAATAGAAAGCTCTTTTCATTGCGGCGCCACTTTACCCCCCTTCCCATTTGAAAAAAGTTGGGGGATGACACCCCCGCTTAGAGGGTTGAAGATTTTGCAATAATTTTTGGGGCAAAAGTTGTCCCCCTCACAAACAAAATTGACGTGTTTTTGGATTTTTTGAAAAAAAAAATACCCTGGCCGGTATGCCTTGCGGAACGTTTTCGATGGGCCACCCTGTATGCTATTTTTCTCAAATTTTAAACTACACTATTAAAAACTAGTTTTTACTCAACATAAAGGCGGTAAAGATACGATAAAAAAAAGAAGAGTAGGGGCCAAGTAATGGCGTCTAGGGCATAACCTCGCTAAAATTATGAACATTTGTCATTTGCTAGCCGTCTTTGACGCCGTTTTTTTTTTGGTTCGTTTATTACTATTCTATAGGTATATAATATTTAGAAGATAGCGCACACTTTTAAGTTTCAAAGAACTTTCAAGCTTAATTATGGAACGTAAGTGGAAAAATACTTGTTTATTAATTCATAAAAACTAAAATGATTACAAAACAAATTTTAATTAAGTGTTAGTTACTCGCTTTTTCATTAGTTAACATTTACGAAAAAAAAAACTAATAACGTAAAAAATATAAAACTTGCCTTATGCAGTTTCATATTTAGTATACAGGGTGAGTTTCCTACGATGTTCTCTATGGGTAACTCGGAAACTACTGGAGATAGAGAGTCGGTTAAATGGGGAAAGAATTGCAGTTTTGTGGGGTCATAAATATGCGCCTTTCAGATTTTTGAAAAAGTTCATGGCTTACTAGATATTTAGAAAAAAACAAATTTTGGATATTTTAAAAATTGTCCCTAATTCCATTATAATCTATTTTAGACAAAAAGTGTTCAGATAAAAGTTGTAGATAATCACATTCTTAATAAGTTTGTGTTCTCCGATTTTTTCTAAAGCCTGTCATTTTTGACATATGACATGAACAAACATATGTTTTTTTTAAATGGAAACCATAGTTGGCCATGACTTCATAAAAAGCGCCATTTTTTAAGCTTTTCACCGATATAAGCTATAATATGTTTCTTTCACAAAATTACTGAGTTATAGCCAATTCTTATCTTTCTTGACTAATTTCACTTAGTTAGCCATGGAAACAAGTTCAATCGTCGTTGCTCTCAGAAATATGAAATTGTCACATTCAATCTTTTCGAATTAAAATAAACAAAAATTGTAAATAAGAGTTTTTCAAATGAAGAAAAGCGTGTAGGATTATTGGTTCAACTTTTTTTGGCCATACAGTTTCGAGGATACGTTGACCAGTGAAAGTTATTTACGTTTTTTTAGAGAACGGTTTTCAATGGTGTTCTAATTTTGTTATGATTTATTACTTATAAAAAGACAAAATATATTATTAATCTATATTATAAAGTTATTTTAGAAAATTTTCAAAAAATTCGCAATTGTTTTGAGTACATAAATGCATCTTTTTAAAACTGAATTTCTAGCTATTCTCACAGAACGACCGGTCGACTTAAATAAACTTCTCTTGTTCCGCCTCTTCGAGTGCTGCTCTTAATTCATAAGTTCTTCTGTAAACCTTGTTGTTAACCATACCGCATAAAAAAATCTAAAATGGATAGGTCAAGTGACCGAGGAGACCCATGCAATTTGGTCCACCTCTTTCTATCCCTGAGTCTAGATAATTATGATATAAATAATTTTTAACATTTCTTTCATTGTGTGTTTGTTGGGGGGGATTGGGGTTGGTGTGTCATAATGAAAGTCATGTTGGAACCACTCTATTAATGGGCGAGTATTAATAAATTTAACTTTTCTAACATGTCTTGAAAACCTTTCTCTACAAAACGTAAGTAACGTTCACCGGTCAACGTATCGTATATGGCCAAGAAAAGTTGAACCAATAATCCTACACGCTTTTCTTCATTTGAAAAACTCTCATTTACAATTTTTGTTTATTTTAATTCACAAAGATTGAATATGACAATTTCATATTTCTGAGAGCAACGACGATTGAACTTGTTTCCATGGCTAACTAAGTGAAATTAGTCAAGAAAGATAAGAATTGGCTATAACTCAGTAATTTTGTGAAAGAAACATATTATAGCTTATATCGCTGAAAAGCTTAAAAATTGACGCTGTTTATGAAGTCATGGTTTCCATTTAAAAAAACATATGTTTGTGTCATATGTCAAAAATGACAGGCTTTAGAAAAAATCGGAGAACACAATCTCATTAGGGATGTGAATATCTTCAACTGTTATCTGAAAACTTTTTGTCTAAAATAGATTATAATGGAATTAGGGACAATTTTTAAAATAGCCAAAATTTGTTTTTTTCGAAATATCTAGTAAGCCATGAACTTTTTCAAAAATCTGAAAGGCGCTTATTTATGACCCCATAAAACTGCAATTCTTTCCCTATTTAACTGACTCTCTATCTCCAGTAGTTTCCGAGATACCCATAGAGAACATCGTAGGAAACTCACCCTGTATATTATGATTAAAAGGGAATGTTGTATCTCATTTAAAAAAATAATTTTTAAAGCGAATTATCTTCAAAAACTGAGGTTTCGCTTTTAGCTTTTAAAATAACGTCAGAAGCACATGACATTGAAAAATTAAAAACCATATTGATCTAGAATAATTTTCAATTTATTTTTGTGTTTCATGCAGGTAAAAAATGGTTCTGGACATGATAAAATATCTAAAATTTAATCTTAAATCAAAAATACAGGGTGTTTCGAAAACATCTGAGGAAATTCCTCATGCAAAAATAAGATTTAATTTTTATATCAACATAGTAAGCAAATTCTGCTTTATGTTGTAGCTACAGGAGGTTAAAGTCATTATTTTTTTCGATTTATTATAATTTTCTTCCACTTTTAGTGTTTCGAATGATTTTGATGACAAGTTACTATAAATGCGACATATTTTAAAGTTAAAAACTGTGGACATATTCACCCGGGACGTGCATATGAGTTATCGCTGGAATCTTTCTTTTTAAAGCATGTACGCCACTGACTTTTTCTTTCTCTCTTATTAATAGTGTAAGCAGTTTAATGCCGATTAAAAGTTGTCTCTTGATATTTTGTCGATTTCGGCATCCTTGATGAGTTTTGACGCAATTTTATTAATTTGTCTTGATCCAAAAGTCTAATAGCAACCTTTAAAAAAAATAATATAATTAATTTGCCAAAGTATTAAATAAATACTAATTGATTCGTCATCAAAAAATATGAAAAAAGTTCCTATAAGCGTGGGTAGGAAATGCATAGTTTTAGAGTTACAGGATGTTAAAACATTTTTAAAATTAGGTTTTCTGTAATTATCTTAAATACCATTATTTTTTTACTTAAAATTGTTGTAAGGTTGGACTAATAGTAATAATAACTAATACTAATAATATTTAATAATAAATTAGGTAAAATATATAATTTATTAATTTTATATTTTTATTTTAATTTTATTAATTATTGTGATTAGGAAAGGTGCCATATTTCGGATAGATTTTTGTTTTTATTTATAATAAAACAAAAAAAATTAAATTGGACTTTGGGTATACAGGTAAATATATTTGTAGGGGTATTATAGTAAAAATATATACACAGTCAAATAAGTTTAATTTTAATACAAAAATACTTAAACAACTAAAAAACCAAAAATATGCATTTCTGTGCTTTGAAAAAAAGTTGCCTAATTTCGGTTGACATGGTTCCTAGTTTCGGATGTAGAGTAAAAGTAACATTAAGAACGATTCCAAACAATAATCAACTAACATCTTCTTCAAGTCTGGCGAAAGGCCAGGTATTCTTCCGGCTGAAGCTGGAGAACTACCACGCTTCACATAGTCTTCTAAAGTTGATTATGGAACATTAAAAGTGCGCGAATCTTTCAAATATCCCATTTTTTTGTTTTTTTTACGGCATCAATAGCGTTCTGCATGCTTTCTGAAGACCAGGTTTTAAGTTTTTTTTATTTCTTCCAGGCATTTCTGCAACTAAAAACACACCAATAAAATACCTATTGAAATCTGGCCTCCCAATTTCGGATATGCGAACTTAAGCAACTGACTCTACCCGAAATTAGGCAACATGTCATTTTGAGGTTAGGTCGCCGGTAAAAATGGTATACAACAACTATGGAGTGTAGAGGTAAGGAGAAATAACTCCGTGCATTAAAAAATGGTCAAAAAAAGGGAAGAATTAGGATGGCGCTGCTGTAGCAAGATTCTAAAATTTAAGACATGCGCCGAACATTTTAGAACAGATGATTCAAGACATAAATATTTGACGTGAAGCAAACGCGAAGCCGCGGGTTTAAAAAAATACAATTTTATTTTCATGTTGCATGAAATAAATTACAGATTTTTATTCAGCAGGAATAGACTAGGCCCTTTTTTTATTTTTCGCAAATGTCATTCAAGACGACGAAAAAATATTCTTATCGTTTTAGCTTAAAATTAATGGTAATTATAATTAAGACAAATTTTATTTAAAGTAATAATTGGTGATGGGTTTAAAATAAATATAATGCAGCTTTAAAATAACTTCATACCTACATTGATTTAGTATAAAAGTAAGTCAATATGTGGTTTTATTATCGATTATTCAGATATCAGAGCCTCTTTTTATTGTTTCTCATAAGTTATTTCGTAAATCTCATTCAAGATGAAAAAGCTTTAGTTTAAAATTAATGTTAATTATAATTAGGAAAACTTTATTAAAAGTTTAATTGATGATATGGGATTTAAATAAATATAATGCAGGTCAAAAATAACGTAACACATTTTATTTAGTATAAAAATTAAGCCAATATAATATAATTTTATACTGTACAAGTATTTATTTACGTTTTGCCATCGTAGTTGCCATTCATTCAGAATAGTGGATTTTAAATGTTCGATAGTCGGATGGCTTAACTACCTTAATATCAACTACTTCTGGACAAGAATCGTGTGCAGTATTATCTTCTTTTTCACTCCCAGCTATTCCAACATGGCCTGGGACGTGAAATAATAATATAATTTTATAGCCCTTCCAGATGCTCATGTCTTCCTTGTAGTTCACCCAATAGAATGGTTCTCGCAGCTTCCTCCCAAGTTGGTAGTTGCTATTCATTCAGAATAGTGGATTTTAAATATATTTGGTAGTCGGATGGTTTAACTATCGGAACTATAACTACTTTTAATAATTCTTTTTCTCAATTCTTTGCACTATAATTTGCATCCCACGTATTGTAATATTTTCCATTGAATTTCGTTTCCTATTGTTCCATGGCTTGAGACGTAATGTTATAGCCCTTCCAGATCCTCATGTATATGTCGCTTTTCCTTGTAGTCCACCCAATAGAACCTTTCTCTTAGCTTCCTCTCAAGTTGATAGTTGCCATTCATTAAGAATAGTGGATTTTAAACATATTTTGTACTCGGATGGTTTAACTACTGTAACATCATAAATAAATTGTATACCAACACATAATGG